AAAATCCATGATTAATTTCGAGATATTTTGTTCACGGTAAAACAGTTGTTTAACATTAATGTAAATAATCATGTCCCTGTCCTAGAGATCAAAAACATCCTTACTTTTATTTTTCAGAAAGTCTAAAAAGCAAATGTTTATTTAGGCGATCACAATAATCCGAAGGTTTATGAAAATAACGAGCAATTTCAATTAAAATAATATTCATCCGCGTTGCAAGAATCATATTATAGAATCATATTAATGGCTGATCTGCTTTAATGATTCAAATTTAATTGAAATAACCGAAGACCCTGTTCAGTTTTTTCCATTTAATTACAGACCCTATGTAACATTTAATGCAATATTTTTCATCGTTTTTTTAAAAGTGTTACAAGGAACAAGGCATTAAACAACATGCCCTATGTCGGGTTTTTTCCAAACCGGAAAACCAAAGCATCCCACCTTTAAAAAACAAAAAATTAAAAATTTTTTAAAAAACGAAGAAAAATTCTAAAATAGGATATTTTTCCGAAAAAATTACAATTTTATATTTCGTTTTTAAAATTTTTATTTCTTTTCAGAACCCCTGGGGATTTTTTTAAGTAAATGGAAAAATTAACAAATTTCAAATGGGGAAAATTTTTGACAAAAAAAAAAATTGAAAAATGTAGTATACCGGGGGGGTTAAAACCTTGGGATAAACCCCGGGTGGTTTTTTTTCCCTTTTTTCCAAACCTTAAAATTTTCTATTTATCTGCAAAAATAAAAAAAAACTACCGGGCTCTGAAATGGGAATAGTTTGTTGAAAAAAATCCGCAAAAAACATACTTCCTTAAATATATCTTGTAATTTCGTTCAAAATTGGAAAGCGTACCTTTATACCACAGGTGTAGTAAATCACAAACCGTTAATTCACAAGAGTAAAAATTGTATTCGGATAATATTAAGTCGAAATGAAGTAAGCGTAGCTTAAAAAGGCAATTAGAAATGGGAATAAAACATAAATAAAATACACCACATCACACTTTGCGGTGTATTTTATTTAAATTAAAATATTATAATGATTTTCAGATTTTTTTATTCGTAAATGATATAAAGTATCACTATTGTTAAAGGTACAGTCGGATCCAAGCAAAACATATATCTCTCTGATTTATTTCACAAATGATATTAATTTTAGTTTAATCATATGTATGTCGGATTTTTAAAAAAAAACAACAACAAAGACATAGATATATTTTGGTAAATCTCAAAAATTTACCCTTTGATTTGGTTTTGGGGAAGGGGGGGCCCCTTTGAAAAAGAAACTTTCCTTTTTTATAAAAATAACTCGTGACCATACGCTTTGGGAACAAAACCGGGACCCAAAATAAAAGAAATTAAAAAAAAGGGCACCTTTTTAAAAAAAAATTTATAAAAAACCCGAAAATGTAAATCAAAAAAATTAAAATTTTTGTAAATCCGTTAAAAAAAATTTTGTTTTAAATGTCAGGCCTACTGCAAAAAACCGCGTATTATAGTACATTTGGGAATAAAAAATGTTTAATGAAAATTTAAATTTTTTAACCCTGCGTTTTTGTAAATTAAAAAAGTTTTTTTAAATTTTTTTTTTTGACTACCCGTAACGCATGAGTGGATAAGGAAGTAAATATCTACATTTTTAAAGCTTAAACTAGTCTACCCATTTCATTCTTACGTGTAACTGTCAATTTATCGGAATTGAGCATATAATTTCACAAGGTATGTGTTTTCTTAAAGGATATATAGCTTCTACTCAAAAGTTGTTTTTTTAATATTTAATAAAAAAAAGGTAATAATTAAAATTAAAATTACGTTTTTCCCTTATTCTTATGATACAAGTATATTTTCTAAAGGATTTAAGGATAAAAAAGTTTTTTATTTAACACACATGAATATTGTGCTTAAACAGAAAAGGACAACATGATACCGGGCATGCGCAATTGAAAGTTACCGAGAATTCCAAACATTTTTCTTTCATAACGGTATTTTTGAATTGTTCCTAGAAAAGGTTTACTTATGACAGCAGATTCATCTATATAATTTTATACTCTTTGAATGAGTTAATGATTTTTTTCATTCTTTTAATGTTAATTTATCTCTATAAATGGTTAAGGTCAATATTGTTTAATAGAAATATATACGGTTATTCTGATAACTATGAACAAGGGACATTTGTTATACACTACATGTATAGTGTGTGATCAAGCATTACGTTATAATATGAACGCAACCGCTATAAGGGGCACATTATTTCGAATTTTCAGTTTAAAACAAAGGAATAAGGCTTGACGATTTCCTGCCATCTAATCAAAGGATCATGGTAATAAAACAAATACATGACATGTTTGCATGAACTGTTTCACTAGTTTTGGTAAAAAATCGTATGTTTATTATACTTAAAACAATTAGCAATCTGTAATACCATTGAAAAGATAGAATAAGTTTTATTAGAATTACTAACAAAATGTCAAATTAATGTTGAAACTCACTATATAATTGTTTGTATGATAATGAGGTGAATATTCAAATATTGTTAAATACCATGTAAATATTTCTTGTTTTGCTAATTGTTACTGTCCTTTTAATAAATTGTAGTGGTGTATATGCTATATGAATTCTATGCTTACTTTTTATGCGTGAAATAAATATTATATCTTCATAGAGTATCACTCAGCAGCATATTTCTCGCAGCATAGGCGTATGCTTTTCAATTATCTACGTGCGTCCATTTCTTATGCGTTTGGAAAAAAAACAATAGAAAGTCATTATGATTTCATTTATAAGGCAAAGAATTAAAATAAAAATGTGTTTGTTTTCAGTAAATATGCTCTGTATCTTATATCAAAGCGAGACAGTTTTTTCTCGCTTTTACTTTTAGTGTAGTGTGAATTATAACATAGGTATCAAGTATAAATAACTCTTTCGAAACAATGTGAGAAATGACCTCAATTTTCGCTTCTCAGTATGACAGATAGCATATTCACTAAAAACAAAACAACAATTATCCTATATATATACATTTATTCTGCATATATACATATAAGCTGCTTTATTTAAAGGTATCACAGTTGACATCATGGCAAGTTTGGTCTCAGTAATGTTGGTTTTAGTGTGTCAGATTGGTAAGCTGCTGTTCTTTCTTTTAAATGCAAGTTTACAACAGTATACTGTAAAACTATTTGATAAAAAAAGTAAAATAAGTTGCGTTACATATCTTAAAAATCTCATCAATTAATGTATTGTAAAAAAACTACCTATTTCTATAATATTTATACAATATAATGCTCAGTTTTTATTAATTAATGCATTAATTAATGCGTTAAAAATATAAACAAAAATGTAGAATATTATACTATCTAAGCAAACCAAATTAATTTTGTTTTAGACTTATCAACACAGACCTGTTGAGTATATAGGTTGCAAAATTGAGCAATTTCTTGTTATGCTAAGGAGTGTTGTATCTATGAATGTATATCTGGCTATTGTGGTTCAAATACACCGAGGTGTGTCTAGAAAACTAAATTAGTTGTGTCAACGGTTTTGAATGTAGAATAACTTTATATCAATTACAGGTATATTGAAATATGTCGATCTTAACTTTATATTAATTTCTTAGGATTAACAATACAGGCATGTGCAGAATGTGCATGTTGTAAAGGAAGCTTTACTTGTGAGTCCAACAAGAATTGTATCAATGGTTGTATTGACGGTTATTATGGTGCAAAATGCACAGAGGAGTGTCAAGGAAATTGTGAAACTTGTGTCAATGGTAATGAATGTACCGAATGTACACCTGGTTATTATAACAACAAATGTAGTATACCATGTGGGAAAGGTTGTGTCAACAATACATGTCTGCTTGTATCAGGAGAATGTCCATGTAAATCGTCATATTTTACAAAAGGTAAATGTGATGCTTGTGCAGGTTTAAGGTATGGAGATGAATGTAACAATACATGTCCCAGTAACTGTGGAACTTGCATATCAGATACAGAATGTTTATGGTGTAAAAACACGGTTTATTACGGATCATATTGTCAACACAGATGTTCACTTGGCTGTGACCAAGGGAGATGTATTAAAAGTACTGGACATTGTATTGAAGGTTGCAAATCTGGTTTTTCCGGAGGTAAATGTGACAAATGCTCACCTGGAGTATTCGGCCCCTTTTGTGATCAAAACTGCAGTAACAATTGTTTTTCTTGTTTATCGGAAACAAATTGTACCGAATGTAATCCAGGTTTTTACGGGGAAAAATGTGCGAATGCGTGTCCATCGGGTTGTAATGGAACCTGTTCAGTTTCCAATGGTCAAAGTTGCAATATAACCGACATATACCGCGTTTGTGCAACAGATACCGGGAGGTGTATACACGGATGCAACTCGGTTATAAAATATGGTGAATATTGTGAGAAACAATGCAGTGATACTTGTAACAATAAAAGCTGTGACTTAAAAACGGGACATTGTTTAGAAGGATGTGAAATGAATTTTTACGGATTGTTTTGTGTTGATTCATGTTCTACTTCATGCATATCTTATACCGGCAAACGTAGATGTGATGGTACAAAAGGTCATTGTTTATTTGGCTGTAAATATGGTTTCCATGGCGAAAGATGTGACAACATATGCAGTAGCCAATGTGTAAATACAACCTGCAACCAAACAACAGCGGAATGTTCATATGGCTGTATAGATGGATTTAAAGGACCTAAATGTGCTGAAAGTAAGTCAGTCTTGCAAAGCAGTAGCAATTCCATAAAATGTTATCCCAACAAACAATATTTAAAACAATATAACTGTTGACAAAAGGCTATTGTTCTTGTGTTCATTTGAAGAAATGATTTAATTTTTACTCCTTGTGAATATAATGTCGTATAGAAGAAGTAAACCTTTAGTTTTTTAACAATTTGCTACACATCTAATTACTTGTTTATTTAAAAACTCATTTTCAAAAAGCTACAAAAACAGTTACAATTTTCGACAAAATTAATATGTAAATTATAAATATTCTTTTTCATTAGTTATACCGGATTTAGAGGGATATTATACTAGAAGTACACTGATAGGATCTACAATAGGGACATTTCTAGCTGGTGGTATTGTTGTTGGAATTGCCTCTTTGATTACCATCATTATAAGGAGGCGGAGGTCTGTAACTTTATTATTTACAAAGTTTGATAATAAATACTGTCGTGTTTTATTTAAACTATCTCAGATAAGAAGATATAGGGAATCGTTCATACATCTGTACATACACCTAATGTAATTTATCCAAAATCTGGATTTAAGGTAACGAATACCTGGTAAAATTGACTGCTAAATATAACTAAATGAAATTTAGTTAAGAATGTACATTTCCTTCAATATTTTTAGGAATATACAAACTAAACAATTAGATGTACACGGACATGTAAACACAATAGGACCTTGTGGAATTCGTTCTAACGGTAATTCTCTTAACATTCTTTTCATTAACGCCATCTTTTTTCATATCAAGATAAGAATGTTTTTATTGATCTAATATCATTTGATGAAAATCGTTGTTTAAGTAAAAATCTTAAAACAAAGTTCCTTAGTTCAAACATGCATATTTCTAGATGCAAGCATTTACATGAGTGAAAATAAATAATCAAATTATTGCACACCTAGTGTTAGAAATTTAACTGATTTTACATAAGCATTTCAATGTTATTATCATTTTATTACGCCTATTTAACGAGCAATATTTAATCTCTTTATATGTGTCTTTTGCAACGGGGAATACTTAAATCTTAAATAAATAATTTCCATATACTAAATATCTCTACAAGTTCCTAAGATAGAATGGGACAGAAAAAAGAAGCCTACCTCATCCCCAAAAGGTATAATGAGATACTTTATTTTTAATTATGACTATTTATTTTTTGTACAGACGACACACATGAGAATGACTCCCCTGTTACTTACGAGGATTTGAAATCACGTGACGAGAGACTATACAGTCAGATAACTACAAGTCAGCAGGAAACACCACCAGCAACTGATTATGTTAACTATAGTTCATAATAAACTAGTAACTTTAATCGTAACAAACTCTTACAGACAAGACACTTTTATTAAAACATTTTATAAGATATATGCTTGTATTTTACTGAAGAAGATAGAAAAGGATGTTTATTAACGAATTAAAAGTCCAGTTTTATCACAATTAAGCGTTAGAAACAAATATGTTTACTTCCATTGCAAAAGTGAACATTTTACAATAATGATGTATATTTTCCAATTTAATACGAACTATCCTTGCATACAAATGCACACGCAGGTATAAATTAACGTCTTTTAAAAAAACACGGACCACGCCCTGATGTTGCACATTTTAATATGCTTTATGCGGGCGGCTGGTTAAAAACAGCATAATGAAATGACGGCCCCAAATTGAATCATTTCTATATACAAAATGCAGATAAAGAATCCCGGATTTAACGATTTAGAAGTTTACTTTTATGCAAAAATATTTTTTGTGTATTATCATCGGATTTCCATCATTGTGCTTCTGTAGATGTTAATACACGGAAACCATTTATTAAACAATCTTAATGTAGGATCAAACACAATTCAATTCTAAGAAATTGCTGAAATGTTTCGTTTCTATTTACAAACCAACCATATTTAAATACTTAAAAACCAACAATTTATAGTGCCATTTTTGAAGCAAAAGTCAGCAACAAAGTCAGTATGTTTAAATTCATACTCGTGTATAGAGTGAATCAGATGTTATAAGTTGCAACTGAAGCAGCATTTAATCGCTATACAGACGCTTGAAGACGTTCTTTGACATGAGAAGAGTTAATATCATACTGTCATATTACTAATGTTAACATTGTAAGTAACCCTTGACAAGACATGAACATATTTTAAATAAAGTTGCATCTTATTCATTGAAGCGTTCATTGTTATTTTAAATTGGACAAATGTCAGTATAAATCATTAGACCACTATAGAAAGGTAAAACTACATATACAATCAAAGTAAAACTAAACTAGATATTACTTTTTGTAAGTATTTAGCACAGCCGAAAACAGTTATTTTTAGAGAGTTATAAATAGAATTGCTTTATCTATGTTAGGTTTTATAAAAGTAGATGTGTTTTATAATAATTTCATAAGTTTTAATTTACATGTTATATGTTATTATAGCTATTGTTAATTTCAGCAGAAAAAATACTTCTTTCTCTAAATGGCTGTATGCAACTATGCATCTATATTTTGAAAGGTTTATCTTTAATTCATGATCAAAACCTAAATCAGCATGACTGCAAATATTAAATAATTCAGTTTTTTTTTAAAATATCTTCTGCATAAAATAATATTTGTGAAAATGACAATTTTTAAAAATGACATTTTTTTCTCTTTACCAGTTAAACATTTTAGAATATTAAGTAAAAATTAGATATTGAATATAGTGTACGATAAAAGTGGGAAATAATACTTCTGCCTATGTATTTAGGTACTGTTGATATAATATGAATTTGCATTCATTATTCAGATCACAACTCTTTAAGGTCAAACATCTTTTACGGCCCATTATTTATGCTCAAACGGGCTTCTCAGTAAACTAGCTTGATAGCTTGCACACATGAGATAATCTAAACCAGCAGCGGTAAGTGGAAACATGTTTAAACTCAAGGACCTTTACTACTCAAACATGGGTGACTATCATGTAACTATATTCAAAGCCGTATTTTATACGTATCGCAACTATACTGTCAAATCTAAACCATTATATAATTATATAAAAAATCATCGATATGTAATTCACTCGCAAATGAGACTTGCGTCGAATGATGTTTGTAGAATTTAACAACAAGTTCTATAATATCTTTATAGAATTACACCTAGTATACGAATCTTTTTTTTGCATTACGTCCAATGACCCACAGTGATTTAATTTTCAAGCTCTTTGATTGTTTAACATTTCATTTACCATATATGTTAAAAAGCAAAATGTGATAAATACGAAACAAAATAGTAATTAATTGAGAAAGGTATTTTATGAATACAGTAATTGCATTTATGACGTATGTATCGATATTGTTTGCATTTTGATGTAACAAAAATGTATGTTGTTTGTCATTCATAATCAAATGTCACGATTTCTTGGCTGTCTCCTTGGTTGGTCTAAATCTAACAGAATATACATGTCTAATTGAGTAAAACTGTAAGATTCTAAAAATATGGAAAAGGGAAGATCCACTGGGAGCAAAGAAGATTAAGTTTCAAAGATATAAAATGTTAGGTTTAATTTGTTTGTTTTATTGGAGAAATGATTGAATGTACAATATTAAACACAACAAGTATTCTAAGGATTGCTAGACGTGTGTGTGTTCAAACTTCGTCAGGGGCAACCTTTATTTCCGTAAGTAAGATTAGTAAGAAACTACTGTTATTGCTTAATGCTGGTTGGTTCCAGGAACTGATTTGAGAGTGTTTAATATGCTTATAGCTTCCAACACAATCGAACTAAAGTACATTAGTAACAACTAAACTAATCACGATCTAAAGCGTCGATTAAGTAGGTTTTAATCTGCAACACAATCAATAATAATAACAGACCAGACATCTGTTGTTATGAATCTGGAAAAGAGTGATCCCTCGGAAGCATTAATCACAACAAAATTGCATGAAAATTGCAGACTCGGTTTGATTTAGTCTTAAAAATGTGGGACAATGAAATAAATGCAACATTGCTCACACACTCGGCTTGAGCATCGGCTTGAGCGGTACAAGCGGTACTCTATTTTTAACACTTAAAAGTGCTGGAATCAATTATCATGAAGGACCAGACAAATATAACAACACATAAGTGAAGAACGGGGCAATTTCCTACAGCTGCGGAACCTGCTGTTGTGAAGCATAAGAATCTTGGCAAGAGTGTTCCCTCGGAAGCATTAATCACAACAAAATTACATAAAAATTGCAGTCTCGGTGTGAGAAAATAATCTGGAATAAGGATGATCCTTACACTATTCGGTCTTATCCTTCTTATCCGTATCTCGTTGGTTATAGTTTCAACCTTTAAAGTAACATTATGCTCATCCAATTTTAAATGGTGAATATACAGGTAAAAGAGCATTAAATAAACTGATTTCTGTATATTTGTTTCCACATGTAACATTAATAACCCTTGATAAATTAACATATTAAAATAAACATATTGTAAACGTTCCTTCACATGAAAACTTAAGTAAATGTGACTCATGGAAATTCTATAAATACGTATCTTTCGGAAATTATAGGTAGTATTTCATAGACAAAATGTGTGGGACTTTTGTAGTTTTTCGTTGTTTATCAAAAACATTTTTCAATTTCAAATATTGGTCAATTATCATTATTTTAGTCATTTTTTTTAAATATATACGTGATGAACAAGCACAATTTGACAATATAAAATATCAGTTTGAATAAATAATTATGGTTTATGATTGAAAACTCTCTCTTGAACATAATGAATTTAAGTTTAATTCGACATTGATACTTTAACGGAAGACTGAAGATGTAAAAAATAAGGTCAAGTTTTATAAATAAATGCAAAAGGAAGTGAAGTTTTTATTTATAAAAAAATCACACGCTTCATGGTTTAAAATCGTCGGGTTTACTCAAATCATTTGCTCTTTTATCTTTTTTATCAAGCGGAATGTATTGATACCTAGTATTCATTATTTTAACGGATTTGTCTGGACATTTATGTGCACTTCCAAGGTAAATATTCTAATCGCCATACCTGTTTATGTAGCCGGATTATCGCCATAACACAGGCGCTTCTATATTAAAAGCATTGATATATTGAGCTATTATAAATTATTCTAAAAAAGTCTGATGAAATAACATGTCATTTTCCATCACGCAATACGTGTCAAATGGTATACTTTTATTTACAATATTCGAAATGTATTTGTATTAAGGATGTCTTTCATTCAAATTGTGCTCATCATTTGTGAAGCAATATTGATTTGAGTATTTCAAAACCACCTGTTGCTTACTGTTTATTTATTCTTACTTTTATTGTTAGCAAAAATAATATTTAAATGCAAATTTTGATTGTGTCTATCTGATATTCATATTACTCTGAAGTTTAGATATATTGTAACTATATAGATAAAAAACTTTTGGAACACAATGAAATTCTGCAAAATACTTTATTCCTATCGCAGGTATTACCTGCTGTATTAATTTTGTTTTAATCTTTTATTTAAAGTCCATAACTTATACCGTGACAACATGACAACAAATTCACTACCTTTTGTATAAAGTTAAAAGGAAAGATAAATTTAACTTTAAAACAGGCATTTTTTCTTTTTTATCTATCTATAATTGTGAATTTAAATGAGCATATTTCAAAGCTATATTTATCCTTATCCTTATGTAGTTGAAAGTAATATTTAAATTTTAATTACTACTATTAAAAAAATCTATTTGAGAGATCACATTACTTAAAACGGGTGTAGACACATTACTTAAAACGGGTGTAAGCACAGTACAAGTTTTTTAATCATCTTAGAATAATGAGAATAATGAATCCCTAAAGAACGCACAAACGATTTATTTACAGTTTATATCCGTTGTAAAATCATGACGAGGCTGGTCCTGCTGTTTCTGTTTACAGTATTTCAGATTGGTAAGATAATTAAATATGTAAAAACAAGTACTCTTAATACATGTTAGGTAAAAGTGCTAATAAGATGCATTCAATATAAAGAAAATTGTAGCATATTTTTTAAAGAATGTTGAGCATTTGAAGTCAAACAATTTAAAGGGTATACATTTATCATAACTTTTGAATATTTTTTATATAAAATCTTTAAACATTTCAATCATTTTTAATAAATTTTAAAGTCGTTTCTTAAAAAAGGTTGTAACAGATAATTTTCCTGTTATTTAAAACTCATTTATATTGTATACCCACTGATTATCAAGTAGTAAATACCGTAGATTAACGGTTTAGCAATGATTCCGTGAAATCAGTAAGGGAACAAACGTATTTTTATACAGGTAATTCGGAACGATTTTTTTTCAAAATCAAAATATTATTTGTGGATATATAAACAGATTATTTAAATAAATAAAGTATAATAGTTCAACCATTTAAAGTGTTATAATTTATATATTTATGGAATTAAAAAACCGTTATCCAGGAAAATAATAGTTTCATACTTTGTAAGTTACATCTCAACCAGAAATATAATGTTGTAGGATTATCGGTGCAGGCGTGCTCAAAGTGCGAATGCTGCAAAAATGGACAGCTGTCTTGTGATTCAAATACAATTTGTATAGGTGGATGTAAAGCTGGTTATTATGGCGAGAAATGCACAGAGATGTGTCTCGAAAACTGCAGAAACTGTGTTAATGTTAATGAATGTTCAGAATGTCGACCTGGTTATTATACCAACAAATGTAATTTACTATGTGGGAAAGGTTGTGTTAACAATACATGCTCAGTTTCATCAGGAGAATGTTCTTGTAAATCGGCTAATTTTGTCACAGGTAAATGTGATGTTTGTTCAGGAAATAAGTATGGTGATGAATGTAATAAAACATGCCCTAGTAACTGTGGCTCTTGTATAAAAGAAACAGAATGTTCATGGTGTCAACACACGGTTTATCACGGATCATATTGTCAGTATAGATGTTCTGTTGGTTGTGTCGATGGAAGATGTAATAAAGTTAATGGACACTGTACTGGGGGATG